CAATGTGGCCGTTTTCTAGGTAGGCGACATGAATCAAATTCTCTGTCTTATWAGCATCTTGCAGTATTGAAGGTTTGAGTCCTTATTTTTGGWGTCTAGTCTGGGAAAACTTGAATTAAMATTGGAGCWTGCGTTATAGTCTATCTGAAATACACGCGGCAGTGTAATAACAAAGGTGGGGTAATTTATAACCGTTGCTGTTTAAACCGTTTGGTAACCGCTGCTAGTCAGGGTGGTACCATCAATAGGGGAGTTTTGTTTAACATTCTATCGAAGTCTTTAAGCAATTATAAAATATAGTAACTTTACTAATTAGTCCTTCAGTAGAATGGTATAAATACAGAGAGGTAGGTGACGCGATAATGCAAACATTCACCCAATACTAACACTTTGTATTATACGGTAAGTAGACGTTTAAATTGCATCACCCTTTAACACTTTTTACCTGCAGGTGGCTCGTWAATTCTTCAACTCTTGTATTTAACAATTATTACTTTTTGATAATTTGTGTTAMTGTTCGATTTTTCTTTCACTAAGGTTAAGCTGTAGATTTGACGAACATTGACAACACCTTTATTTTTAGGGACAAAATTATTAGCTATACTATCAAGCWGGAGCCAATTACTAGGGGCCTTCCTCTTCCCATGGGCTTGTGGAACGGCATTTACCCCTCTTGGTGCTATTTTCAGATTTTCCCGACATTCCCCGCGCGCTTATTGAGATGCCGAGTTGTGAAGAGCCGCTGGCCGACGTCAGGTGTTTTTAGATTGAATTTTATATTTGTACAAGTGAAGAATTTTTTGCTTTTACAAAAACTRTTTTGTAACAAAGGTTCAATGGCACCATTAACTATTATATTCAAATGTCTATAGATGGTGAAAAGGTATAAAAAATAAGCGAAAAGCTCATACATGAAAGAATCGCCATTTCTGGTCTCTTTACTACTCTGCGAACAGAGTTACTTTTCTCCTTTACCGACGAATCTGATCAAAAAGCATGACAGTGAACACAAAATAATCAGTTCTTATAATGAGTTCTTCATCTAAAAAAATGTGACAGATCACAAATGTTAGCAATTAATAAATTTGTTTGTGACAGTTTTGTACAATATTTTGCATCTAGACAAAAGCTCTTCACAAATGAAGTTACCTTCGGAATTTCGGCGCCTTTTTATTGAACAGGCGATGAACAGTCCTCTAAAATGTTGTGGGTACTTAATTGTTTTATGGACATATAAATTAGTCAACCCAAAAAGAGTTCCATTCAATGTCCATTGGCATGTGAAAATTTGCAATCAACCTCATCTAAGATTACTTCGTTCAGTTTGCTCAAGTCTGTTCAAGTTGAAAATTTTCCGCTTTTGTACAATTTGAACTTTCGTTCCTCGTCTTCAACAGCCATTTGATTTCAAATTCTGGTTATCAGTTAAAGATCCAGAGTTTGATTTGAGTCGATTTGTTTTGCTTTTGCTCCAATGAATTTTGTTGCCTGCTCAATGAAAAGTTCATAATCCGWGTTGGTTGTTTTTTCGCCAGATTTYCCCCTGTATTCCCAAGATTAATTACATCTGTTTTMTATCACTGGCTTCSTCATCGGCTAAATATGAAGCGAAAGGTGATTCTGCTTTCCTTTTTTGGGACATATTTCTACTAAAAGTTAACTTTAAACACCCTGAAATTGAATTTTGAATAGTCTAGTACTAATAAGATCTTCCTCCTCGGAACTGCCGGCGGTCGGAGGTCGGTCATTCAGAAGCCTATTTTTCAAGACGCTTTCTGATTGGGTGTTTTGCGCTGAATTTATAACGAAAATAGCAACAAGAGGGATAAATGCCGTTCCAAGAGCTTATGAAGAAGAGGAAGGCTCCTAGTAATGGGCCCCTGTATCAAGTTAATTCATAGCGGAGCGTTCGGCCCGCGCGAGTGGAGCACCATAGCTAAGAAAAAWAWKG